AGTTGAGAGGTTCACTGTACGTGTTTCAGTTTCCTTCACTGATCTCTGTGTGTGTGATCTGGGTGCAAGCTTCAGTTCATTATTCATTCAAGTGAATATCAAAAATATAATCAATTAACATCAAGGTGAGTTGCCTCTGTTCTCTGGGATAAATGGAACAAATACGTTTTAAGTGGAAAATGATGGAACATATCCTAAATGACTAAAATTACTTAAAAACCACCCTGGTCTTTGTTTTTTGCATCTCATTTGTTTTGCTTTCTCTCTCTGGATACTCTGAGTTAACTTCCTAAAGAAAATCTTAATCTCCTTAAAGATGCAAATCTGTTTAAAAGGACTAGAGTATAATTTATAAATTAAAACTTAATTAGGCCGGGAATAAATGATCTTAGAAGAGGTTATTGGAAGTGTTTTCTCTGTGCATAAAGAAGCTATTGCTGCGTTGGAATAACGCAGGGACCACCGAAGTAGTACGGAAGCACAATTTTTGGAGTGTTAAGAGCACAAAATATTCTTATTGCCTGGAATTAATGGGGCAGCCATTCCCTTCCAGCAGCAGGGCTGGGAGGGCATCCGAAGCTCTGGGTACCCAAAACAAGCTTTGAAAACGTCTGATAAATGCACACGTAGTATCACACGTCCTTTGCTCTTAAATAAAATAAAAGCTATGTGGCTTCGTGGTTCTGCTAAAAATAACTGATCTTTTTTTTTCCCAGCCTCCATGTTTTCAGATGTAGCCAAAGCTACTTACTGAGGGGAGAGCTGTGGGGTTTTTTAGGGAGGTTTCTGCTTTGCAGGCTTTCTTCTGGTTTTTTGTCCTGGATTTGTTTTGATTTATCGGACACTTAAGGATAGAAAATATTGGATTTGATGGTCCTTTGGCCTGACCTCGTCTGGCATCTCGCATCAGGAGAGAAACGGCAAAATAAAAGAGGTTTGACAGCGGAGCACAAGTGGAATCAATGGAGAATACTTCAGGGTAAACAGTTCTTTAATTACAGCCTAGAGGCAGCATGAGGAGGCGAGACTGCAGCAGCTCCTGCTTGTAGCTCTGCTCTCTGCAGCTGGACCTGGTGCTGTCCCCGAGTTCCTCAGCCCTGTTTTGGGTGGACCTGATCTCTCCGAGAAGCTGCTGAAGCTGCAGTCTGGCTCCATCGGTGTCTTTGGGATGATGAATGAGCTCAGTTTCTTGCGCTGGGCGGACCGGTTAAAATTTCCACAGCACGACAGCGAAAAGCAGAGGAGGATTTTTCTTAACGAAGCTGCTTTAATCACTTTAATACAGCATTTCTGTTTTAAGAGCTCAGACTGACATATCTAAAAATACTCCTCTTGATTACTGGTTCGTACAGATCATTTTAAGTACGAGCATCCTTGTTTCGGGGCTTGGTCTTAAATAACAACCTAAAAATGGTTTTCAGGCATCCATAATCCAGGATATTGTTCTCAGCAGCGCTTTTTTTCGTCGCCATGCCTTGGGTTGTTTTTACCAGCACGTTCACAGATCTTCAGCATTCAATCCTTGAGTTCCAATGATTTTTAAGTATTGGGTCTCAGGCACCAACAGATCAGGTCTTGGAGCTGCCCTGCCAGCTGCTTTGAGGGCGTTTTTACAGAAATACTTCCAGGGAAGATTTTGGGGGGAGCTTTGAGAGAAAGCATCATCGCTGGGATTTGTCCTTTAACCAGATCTTACAGGAATCTTGCAGATTTGGGGATTATACTGTTACCATCTCTGTGATGAGAAGCTTTCTCCATCTTCCTCTGCCTCATTTATCCTCTTAGAAAGCTGGAGCTTTGTTAACTGGACCTGCCACCGAGAACTCGGAAAGGTTAAGTGCAGATTTTTGGCTTTATAGTGAAGAAGCTGAATGGATTGGTGATATTTTGGATTTTTTTCGCTTTACAGATGTTTCTTTTTATTGATTACGATTTGAAAGAGCTAAACAACAACTAGTAGGACTTCAGATTAGTAGGAACTCAGACCTCAGTGTGACTTTTTTGGAAGAATCCTTGGACCAGATGTGATTCCCCAACATACGAGGCAAGCCCTAAAGCAGCAGTGCCACGATCCCAAGTTCTTTATCCTTTGTGGGTCACTCCTGAACGTTGCCTGAGCTCTTTGCAGACCCCAATTGGTGACAAACAACCTGGAAATGCCACGTTGGTGGCGTCCTGTCCCTAACCTCCTTCCCTGGCTCCTGTAAGAGTCTCCCCGGGGACTCGTTACCTTAAAGCTTGCAGTGCTGCCAGCAGTAACCACCAGCAGGTACTCCACAGGCTCTGGCACCGAGGATTTGCCTCTACCCCTTATTAATCAATGTCATTAGCAGTGCCTGGCGCTGGACGCACCAACCTCCAGCACAGGAGGCTCAAGCAGCAGCAGAACCAAACGAACGACCATCAGGAATCAGATGGACGACCTTGAAATCTCTTCGGGAGCTGCTGGCAGATGAAAGATGCTGGAGCTCCGAGATGAGCGCTATCGATCCCATCTCCGGCCTGGAATAAGCGCCGGGCAGCGGCTCAGGGCTTCCAGACAAAGAATATTGATCAGGTCGACTCAATTAGCTGCTGAAGGCTTCGCATTTGCCCCCCCCCCCCCGTCGTTAGCGGCAATTTCACGGATAGAAACTTCACAAGTTCCCATCTTTTAACTTAATTATGTCTCTCTTTGCTCTTAGCCACCGCTGATTCGGTTGCTGGTTTGGAAGGAGGCTCGTCTTTAACAAAAAAAGGATCTAGCTTCTCTTTTTAGGAGCTCCTTATTTTTCTGTAGCAGCATAAAAGCTTTCTCCCTGTCTCGTGGGATATTAAAACATTGCAGTTTATCAAAATTAAGGCAGATTAACGCTTCCACTTAATGCCTTGTGCAGCAAAACGCTTCTCTCCCCGGGAAGAAGCACCCCACAGATTGTGTTTTTTGGGTCTAATTGTTCAGGGGATGGGGTTAGGGAGGCAGCTGGTGAGAAAGCCCAGAGCAGGAGCCACCAGACATCCCTTGGACCAGATTTTTCTGGAGTCCTTTCCCTCTCTCCTTCCCCACCTTTATCCCTCCAGGGATAACCTTAACACCTTTTTTTTCCGTGTCCTAGCAGCGTACCAGAAATATTTTGGCTTAAAGGCTGCTGCATGCCACTGCACCGCCGACTAACGCTGCCCTGGACGTGTTTGCATCTTGAAATTTTTCCCTGCTCTTGGGGAGAAATGGCTTAGAGGTGAAACACGTTAAGAAACTCCATCCAAACGTTGGCTGAAGCAGGTATTGAAATGTGAACAAGCCAAGCTGCAGCCCGTTTCCCTCCTCTGTGAAACGGGTGAAAGTAGGAGAAGAACCTCAAGGAACTCGTTGACACCCTTTCTAGATATTCTATTTTTCCCCTAGATATTCTATTTTCTAGATATTCTATTTTCTAGATATTCTATTTTCTAGATATTCTATTTTCTAGATATTCTATTTTCTAGATATTCTATTTTTCCCCTAGATTTTTCTATTTTTCCCCTAGATTTTTCTATTTTTCCCCTAGATTTTTGTTTTCTAGACCAGGCTCCCTTCAAGACATCTCATTGTGCAGTGGGAAGGCACACGATCTGCTGCAAGACTCCAAAATGAAAAAAGTGATTTCCCAAAGCAAATCCTCCCATGGGTTTGATTGCAAATAACCCAATTTATCTGTCCTCCTCGGTGGCCAGGTGAGGGAGAGCCACCTTGTTTGGTGCTGCAAAGCCAGCGCTAGGATTTAGGAAGTGCTGCAGTGGGAAGCTGTGGGATTTCCTCATCCTTTTTAACGTTGTGGGAAACGTGGTTGTGCCCGTGGAGCTGAACAAGCTGCGAATTCCCAGAGGAATTCAAGTCCTGACTTGGGAGCTTTTCCTAAAAGTTTTTCTGCTGCCTTCCTGCTGGTTTGGCTCCCCTACAGCTGATGGAAGATTGCAGGTGGATTAAAATGCTGCTCGAGGGTGATAATTTCTGAAGGTTTTGCATGAGGATTTCATTTTTTTTAACAACTTTGGCTTAAATTCTCTTACTCTTGATGGTCCCTGACAACATACATCCCTGTAGGGGGACTGTACAACACATCCTTTAATCAGTATCTGTGATGTTGGCTGGCCAGCACAACCCACCCAGCTCCCCCTGCTCCTTGTAAGTGCCTGGGAGCTGCCAAATCCCAGCTGCAAAGAGGCCAGAAGACAACGGGAAGGATTTATGCTTGAGGAAATTCATGTCCTAAATGATCTACGTGCAATTAAGGGGCTTTAAAGACATGAAATTGAGGCAGCTTCGGGTGTTTGGTTCCTGAACATCTCTGGGTGAAGGTGGGACAGGGTAGGGAGATGTCTGTTGGGTGTGAGTGAGGCTTTTTCCCAGCTCAGCTGGGAGAAAAAGTGTGGAAAATAACTGTTGTGATGGTCATTGCTCCAAAATGAACCTCTGGTTTCTTGGTTTTTAAGAAAAATGGGATTACGAGGGGGTCTGACACCCAGCTGGAAGTGTTTTTAACTATATATGTGTGCGTGAGATCACACCTGAGATTTAACCTGGCCGAGCAGATTTGCAATTAGAGGAGCTGCAGCACCTCAAATGGCTGCATGGAGCGGGCTTTACTGGTTTTTTTTTGGCTGCTGGCTTCCAAAATCTGCAAACCTGGCCTGGCACCACGTGGATTTACCAGCTGCAGGGATGGGTAATGGGGTTTTAACAGCAGATCAACCTGCTTGTGCAAAAAAAGTCGTGGACATCTCGTTAAAGGTAGGGTGAAGGTAATGGAGCGGTGAGGATTGTGTTGCAAGAGCCAACCCTTTCCAGAAAAACATGCACATTAATGAATTTGCATTGTAAAGCCAAATAACTACTCTTTTGTTTATAGGAGGTGTAATTGCACCATGCAGATCTGCAGGACTCTGGGTAAAACTCAGCCCGAAACCATTTTAAAGTCACTCGTTTAAAACTTTTGCTGAAATAGCTCCTTGAATCTGTTTTCTTTTTTTTTTTCTTGTAGTGGGGAAGACTTCCTTGATCACCAGGTTCATGTACGACAGCTTTGACAACACCTACCAGGTAAATTAATCCGTATTATCCCCACCTTTTCCTGCCAGACCATCCCAGACCTAACGCCTCTGCGGGGAAAATGTAGCAGGTACCCGACTCCTAAAAAGAAGAGGCAGAAAGCTGAACTGCAAGAGGTGGTGCAGGGGTTGAGCAGGGACTCGAGGAGCAGAGAGCACTGGATTGTAGGGTTTGGTGTGTTTTAGGACACCATTTTATGCTATCTGCCAAAATAAGGACCTCAGACCTGGTTGTTTTGGGTTGTTTTGCACTCGTTCCCTGCCCCCCTCCAATTCTGTGACCATTTACTATGCGTATTTATTAATTAAACCAGGTTGGGGTTGCGAGGTTGGGGCTGGAGCAGTGCTTGTCCTCTTCCAGTCGGCCCTGCAGCCCCGTTGCTGGTCAAGGTTTGGTGACAAGTCCCTTCGAGCTGATGCCAGTTGGATTTTGAGGAGCAAGTTTTGGCACCCGCTCCCAAATTTTATAGCTTGCCACCTTTCCAGGCTCATCCTAAAAGTACTTTAGTGTCATAAATGGAAGTGTTGAAGTATAGTTTCATAAACTAAAGTGTGTTCTCCAAGGGAAGGCTTGTTTCATGGCTTGATGGCACTTGGTGATGTTCCACATTCACTAAACCGAGAAAATCTGTTCCCTGACGGATGTGAAGGGTTTTTTAGGGAGGTGGGAGGAGAAGCTAATGGGGAAAAGACACAAAAAAGCCGTGTCTCTTCTGTTACTTATGGTCTTATCCGAGGATCTCTTGATTAAATCTCTTTACCCATTAATGATTTCCTTCCTGCCTCCTCAGTAATTCCTCACTGCTGCTGCTGGGCAAGTTGGGCAGAGCTGGAAGTTCTCATTTAATAACAGGAGAAGCAAAGCTGCTGTGGTGTAGGAGGGCAGGAGCACACATCACTGCTCCCACGGGAGCAAACATCCTTTCAGATTCTGCCCACTGTAATTACATGGACACGTGAATGCAGTTCTTTTATTTAATCTGTGTGTTTTTTTTTCTTATCCCCGCAGTATTTTGCTTTCAGGTCTACTCCTTTTCTCTGCGGAGCTCGCGTCCTAGTTCTTTCTTGAAGAGGTTTGACCCTCTGTGCTGTGTGATAATATTGCAGTCTCCATGGGAAGCCGGTGTGACATAATAGACTAAATGATTGCAAAATGAGTGAGTGGGGCTTAAAACAGGGAGAAATCTTAAGGGTTTACCAAACATGTGAGCTTATTTTGCGTTTTAACGTACTTGGGATGGTGCCATTCATCCAAAGACCTCTCTTCTACTCAAATCATGACCGAGGCAGGGAAACGTGTCCTCTTTTGATACAGCTGGAAGAAGGAATGAGTCATGAGAATTGAAGCAATTCAGCCAACATCACGTCACGTTAGCATCAGCTCCGTGCCCAGGGCTTTGTAGAGACCTCTCCAAGCCTAGCACTCGGCTGATAACGCCTATCGAAAGCTGTCCGTGGGTAACTGCAGCTGCAGGTTAGCTGCTGGCTGATTTTGCTCTTTCTGGACATTTCTGATAAATTTTGAATGCCCGTTTTCCGAAAGCTGCCACAAGCTATCATTTGAGCAAGGCTTTTTTTTTTTGTGTTGGGCTGGTAAAAATAGAAGGCTGCTGTTTAATAAAATCTCTGCTGGACGTTGCTTTCCTTTTTGCTAGATAAAAGGAGTTCAGCTGTTGCCCAAACAGCTTATTAATGAACCAAGAACTCGCTGTACCGTGCCGAGCCCAAACGCCAGGAATAAAACCCTGCCAATTTGGTGTTTTCTGTTTCACCAGGAGAGATTCTTCCCCGTGGACGTGCTGGGAGAGGTTTTCCTTGTTCCGTGGCGCCGTGTGCGGTGCATAATGAAAGCCCAGCGTTGGCAGACACGGCGACTCTGTGTTGTGCAAGAGGAAAATTAGAAACCACGCTTCCCTTTAGCTTCAGCCTCCTGGAGGAGAGAAGAGGGGAGGATGCTGCTGAGTTGGAGCCCTGGCCTGGTTTGCCTCAGGCTCCTCACGTAGCCTTGGGTTGTTGTTGTGTGTCAGCAAGGATAGTTTATAAAGTGGTGTCCTTCTTAGCAGGGATGGGAGGACAGCTGGATTAAAAGCTGTTCTGATGCACGTTTGCACAAACCCATCCATAACGTGGCCCACCTGAGCATCTGTGCTGGGCCTGTAGCCTTGAAATTCCTCGCAGCACCTCTCAGCCATGCAGAGAGCATTCCTATTTATTTTTTGTCCTGCGTACGCAGCGTTAAACCCTCTTAATTAGGATAGCTTCACTTCACAGAACCATTTGTGCCCGTGGTTTTGTGCCCGTGACTTTTGTCCTGCCAGGAATAAGTCTTCTCCTCCCCTCGTACATCGCACAGCTCTTCATACAACCGATCTGTGAAGATTCCCCGAGCTTTTCTCCTCCTTTTTGTCAGGCCTGTGACAAAATGTCTGTTAGTAGCTTACCTATTTTAGTACAAGTTTGGGCTGGGGAGTGCCTGGATCCTCTCCTTGCCATCTGCTCCTGGTTCTTCTCCGCGTCCTTGTGCGCCGGTCCGAGCAGCACAGGTGGACAAATGCCTCTGGCTCTCAGCTGTGGAATTCTGAAGTGCAATTAGGAAATGTAATTTAATTCTTAAATTAAATGAATTCTCATTCTTAAAGGTGCTAGGGGCTTAGAAACAAGAGCTTTGTCACAGCCTGGAAGTGAGGGACCTGCCAGCCTGTTTTTCTCAGCACAATCAGCGCAAATATTTTCGGGATCTAAAGTGAGTTCTGAGCCTGGCCTTTCTGTCCCATCTCCCACGTTTTTGGTGTTGACGTGCAGGAGTCTCGCTGCCCTGAGGGAGCTGTGCAGCACTCAGCATTTCCAGCAGGCTCACGGGGACTTGGTACGGCCGTGAGGAAGCTGCTGGGCACGAGGTAGGGGCTGAGGCAGGTACAGATCCCAAGGGTTTTGTAGCTTTTTTTCTTTGTAGACAAATCAAGGGTCCACAAGGGAACACAGAAGGGTCTTCGAGGCAGTTTTAGGGGAGTACCCTTCACCCAAACCATACAACACAAAAGCAGAAGGGAGGTACATTGCTCTGTTAGCCTCCTAGGGCTCTGTTCTTTCTTCCTACCACCTAAAATACCTGTCAGAACACAGAGAATTAATAATACAATAAATAATAATAATATATAATGATGGCATAATAGAAATCTAACAATATAAAGCATAAACAGTAAAATAAACTCTCCTTTAGAAAATCCTGCTTCATCATGGGAGCGCAGGTAAGTAGCCTCAAGTCTCTTTGCCCTAGCTGACACTTGCCCATTATCTTTATTTAATCAACTTGATTAAATAAATACTGATGTTGCTGAGGGTGCAGCTGCTTGAGGTGCTCGGTGTCCTGCTAAATCCTGGGCACCCCTTTAGCCTCAGCTCAGTCGTGTCCCTGATGCAAACGACCCCTTCGAGCTTGGATGTGCTCGATGCAGCCATGAAATATGGGGAGAAAATATTTAAAAAGCAGTTTTTGAAAGCACTTAGTTGTGCTTTCCTCTTTTTTCTTTCTCTTAAACACATTTGGAGGTTGGACACGAAGCTCCCACCGGTGTCTAGCAGCTCAGATGCAGTCGTGCTGCAGGGAGCTTTAGGATTAGCTGAGCATTATTAATAAATTATTGGGGTGTGTGCTCTTGTGCTGCAGCAGGCATGAAGCTGCCCACCTGAGGAAAAAGGCTTAAAGGGAAGGGACGTGGTTCAGCTGATGGACACCGAAATACTTTTACAAGAATCCTTGCTGATCCCCACATGATTGTGAGGATTAAATTGCCAGTAAGAAGAAGTTGAGGTTAAGCTGAACAACTTTTGTGTTTCAAGATAATGTACCTGTTAGGGATATTAAATAAACTCCTAAATGAATCCTAAAAGTAAGAAAACATTTTTTTTTCTTGCAGATCCACTCCAGTTGTGGCAGAAACGCTCGCTCCCCTGCAAACTGCTGCGGTTATTCTGGTGCTTCAAATGAAATTCTTTTTTTTTTTCTTTCCTTCCAGGCAACAATTGGCATCGACTTCTTATCGAAAACCATGTATTTGGAGGATCGAACAGTGAGTAAGATTTTCCTTGGCACTTCTCTGTGTACGGTAGGAGCGAGGATCAGCATCTGCTGCGACGGTGCTGGGATCGCTTGGAAGGACGAGCTGAGCCTTCACCTACCAGCTGCTTCCAGACTGACAGAGCTGTGCAGGCAGCTCCCTTCTCCCCTTGGGGAAGGGGGAAATCGCTTCACACTTAACCCCTTCAGCTTTTGAAGGATACAGCGCAGTTTTGCCAAATGTTGCCGGTTTGTAGCCAGCTCATTAGTTCTTAATTTGACTTATTTAAATAGAAAAAGGTTGCCTTCAGTAGTAACCCACAAATTACTCCTGTTATTAGCTTGCTGCAGCTCTAGTTCCCGAAATGAATGAAATCACTGCTCTCTGGAAGAGAGTCTGTGGTTTAAAATTAGCTCAGATCCTTCATTAAGAAGTTCCCTTCGTTAAGGAGTTGAGTTCAGCCGCTGAGCTGTTCGCAGAAGCAAGCTGAGCAGTGCTGCGTAAGCTCACGGTTCTGTCTGAGCCCACAACGAATGTGAGTGCATTAAAAGGGCTTCAGTGCTGAGAGCTGGTCGTCCCACAGCAAAACAACTCCTGCACATCCTTCCATACACGTTGCTTTTAGGATATCTTGCCTTTTTCTTTGAGAACCCTGCTGGTAAGAGACGTTAAACCTCATCTGTGTGCATGTTAATTTAAAACGTGGCCAGGGCTTAAGCACAGAGTGTAACCAGCGTTTTATCCTCCCTGAAAAAATCACGTTAGTAGCTTTTCCCGTGCTTTGACAGCAGCTGAAGGTTTTTTCCTTGAAAAATGTGGTGTGGGGCCTGATTCTTCCACCAGCAACCGGGCTGTTGGAGAGTTACGTGAGTCCCGAGGGAGGATAGCAGCAGAGCATGAAAACCTTGCGTAGGCAGAACTGCAGGTGAATATTTGCCTTAGTTACCTCGTTGCTCCTTTCCCTTTGAAAGCCGAGCAATCCTATCTCTCCCCTTCTGGAAGGGAAACATTTTTGAAGAGAGAAGGCAGCAGAAAGGGCAGCTGGGTGCACACACCACGCCAGTTTGGCTACTACAAGTGCTTGGGAGAGATCGCTGTAAAGGAGGAGACAGTTGGCAGCTGCTCCCAGCCCCCAGTCATCTCCTGCATGAGTTTCTATTTTCCTTTGGCTTTTTCAAAAAGTGCGATTTATTTACTCTTTTTTATTTTTTAGTGGCAGTTTTGGCTTTTTTAATTTTCTCCCACCCACAGATCAGGTTGCAGCTGTGGGATACTGCGGGTCAGGAACGTTTCCGTAGCCTCATTCCCAGTTACATCCGTGACTCTGCTGCTGCTGTAGTAGTTTACGATATCACAAGTAGGTATATTGCACTGGGTTTGACCTTTTTTCTTATTTTTCTTGCTTGTTTGACTGATTTTGTTAGGTACGGTTGCAATTATGGGACACAGCAGGTCAAGAACGGTTCAGGAGCTTGATTCCTAGCTACATTCGTGACTCCACTGTTGCAGTTGTTGTTTATGATATCACAAGTGAGTGGGGGGAATTCTGCATTTCTAATACTCTGCCCTTTCCATCCTTTAGCCTAGCTTTGCATGTCCTATCACAGCCATGTGCTCGTTCTTCATTCTGGCATGACAAAGAAAACCTTTTCTTTTCACCGTAGTTCAGTTTGAAGCTAGCCACCCTCTTGTGATGTATGAACTGTCTCACGAACGCCCTCGTTTCGTAACCCTTTCCTCTCACATCCTCCTGAAGCCTTGAGTCCTGGCTGGTCTTGTTGCACTTTTTTTTTTATTTTTACCCCATTTCATCAGCTTTTCGATCACGGTATGACCTCTGATTTTTGGTCCCAAACACCTGAGTCGTGTTCATCGAGGTCTGAACTCTCCATTTAGACTTTGCACTGGTAGCCCGAGCTTGCTTCACTCCATCTGCCCCCCCCTCCCCACGAGGTTTGGGCATGGGCTGGGGGGAAGGTGCATTAACACCACATTTTCATTCAAATCAATCATCCACGTTTTGCAATTTGTGCGACTTTAACCCCTAAGCCCTTGCCCTTTAACAACTGCTCTTCCATTTCTTACTAAGGTATGTACATTTTTGTGAACTAAAATATTAGTGCTTTCTTCAACTCTTCTCCTTCTGTCCCTCCCCTCAGTCCAGAGCCCCCTGATTGAGTAGGTTTCAGCGTTTTAAAAGAGCAGAAATTTGGTTTAGAGGAATTAAACCTGTAGACATTTCCAGTTCCAAACCAGAACTGACGGAGAGCGATGGCCTAGATCTATACAAATGCAGAAGAGCTTGTCCTTTGCTTTATAAATATTAGAAGATTATGGCAGGAATGAGGGCCTTACCTATAAAATCTTTAATTGTTAAAAATAGCGCTTTCACTTGAGCTAAAATTGCAAGTTAGCCGTGAACCTTGAATTTTTCTCTTACCGACCGAGCAAATTCAATATTACCGAGTAGTAAAGAGACAAATGAAGATGCTGGCAAATGATCAAGCCTCGCCTGTCTGGCGTGCAATATATTCCTATGCAGTAGAAGCCATTAAAAAAAATCAATAACTGTCGAGAGCTGCTGCAGAGCCCCCATTTTCTAAGTGCTGAAAGCCATGCAGGCAACTCGGATGCTCTTGCGTGGCTAACTGGGAAATGCTGGGCTCTGGGGCAGTTTTCCTTATGGGAAAAGGAAATTATTTTTACTAACGTGCTGTCTCCTTAGAGCAGGGTGGCTTCCTAAAATTCTCTTCCCTCTTTTAAGGACGTATCATTAAGAAAAAGTTATTATGGATACGTTGAATTTTGTCTTTCTTGTTCCATGCAAATGATCAGGAACTGTTTGGAACTCATTTTTCAGCAGTGCAGGAGTTGCTAGGAGGGTTTTATAACCCTGATAATTCCTAGGGAGAACCCTAAACCTAGCAAGTGAGAAGTGATTAAGTTGTACAAACGCGTAGCTGATCTGAAATAGCTTTGAGAAGCAATGAAACAAAATGGGAACTGGTCTAAAAGAGCAATAAGGCTTCTCGTTTTAGACTGCTGTCAAGACCAAATTATAGATAACTCTGTTATTTCGAGGTGAATTCCAAGCCAGGGAGTGAAGTTAGCCCATCTGAAATTACTGCCAAAGCTTTCCTACACGTCAGCGTGGGGCACGTAGGGTCTCGCTTGCTGGTTCTTCATCACCTTATTGTGCCAATTCCAGAGAAAGCGAAGCTTCTATACGAGACTCTGAGATGTGTTAGCAGCGAAACGTGAAGAATACCTGCCCTGATAATCCTCTCCCCTGTTCTCTGCTAGATGTAAACTCGTTCCAGCAAACAACAAAATGGATCGATGATGTCAGAACGGAAAGGGGCAGCGATGTCATCATCATGCTGGTGGGAAATAAAACAGATCTAGCAGATAAGAGGTACGGAGGAAGAAGCTCCTCTTTTGAATGCTTTTCTTAGCCTGGTGTTATTTTCTCCAAGATGATGATTTTAAAAGGAACACTTCTATTTTCTTCCCAAACGCTCAAGTTTGTTTTAACTGGAGGTGGCTGTGACTAGATCAACCCAGATCTTTAAACTCCTCTCTTTTGGGCAAGCCCAAATTTGCAGCACAGCGCTATGAATGAGTGTGAGAAACTGTGACCCACTTGTTCGGGTGTCAGGAGAGAACAGAACGTTAAAAGCAACCTGCACCAGTGAATGAATGAGCTGAAGTGGTTACAAATACTCAGACTTAATAAATTTGCTCTGATACAAGTGATAGCTGCAATTGGAATCCAGTGTTTTCTCAGAATAGCTTTGCTTGTGACCCTTCAGATTTATAAAATCTGTTATATAAAATCTATAAACATCCTATTAAAAACTGTTCTCTCTCTCTCAAACTCTCACACATGCACAGATTCCTCATGATTTTTGTTTGGAAGCTCTTGAGACAAAGTTTTCTCCAGATTTAGCGGACTGCTTAATGGGTGGGACACCCAGGTGGGGGAAAACAGCAAAAAGTGATTTGATATGAGGTGGTTGTGCTTGGTCCTTCCTTAAAATAGTTCTGTTTGCAGTTTGATGATAGTTATTGGGTATCAAAGTCTTCCAGTTGCTGCCTTTTCAAGCTTAAAAGCACAGCTTCCTGTGCAGGGACTTGAAGGAGTCTCATTTTCCATTTCAGCTGCTTTACTCTGGGAGCCAGGTGTGCTGCTGAAGTCCATCTAATGGGATGAAATGGTTATCCTAGTGCAGAGCTATGCTCAAAATGTGGCATCTCCTTGGGTTAAAGACAACAACCTTAATTCTCGAGGTGTCCATCTGTTTTTTTTCTGACTCTGTGTTATCTTCCCCAGACAAGTGTCCATCGAGGAAGGAGAAAGAAAAGCCAAAGAGCTGAATGTAATGTTCATCGAAACTAGTGCAAAAGCAGGATACAACGTAAAACAGGTGAGTGACGAGGTGCCTGCATCCAGCATCAGACATTTTCTGTTAGCTCACCAGTGTGGAAATGAGATCTGCTCCTAGACATCTTCGCGTAGGGTGTTAGAGGGACGTTTGGAGTTTGTACACAAAAGGCAGGATCTTGGGGTTAAATTCTTGGCTGAAGGATCCCTGACCTTGCAGGAAATGACATGGAGCCTCTTTCCTCTTAGAAAAAAGGATTTAGGAGGAAGCTTTGTGGGCACAGCATCACGCCTTCCCAAATTCTTGTTGGTGCAGCCCCTAACGGTGTCTGGATCGAACAGATTAAGGCACCAACCGAAGCCTGTTCAGTGAATGAACGTGGACAAAGCGATGGAGGAGGAGTGTGATGGATTAAAATGCTTCTGCTGGATACTGAGACAGTGTAAACCGGTGCTCCTGCTCTGTTGGAAGGCACTGAAGGCTCGAGCAAATGCTCTTGGACGGCTTAAGCTGTTTATTTTCGTTAGCTGATGAGCTGCTTTTGAATTAGGGAGAGCAGGGAGATGTCTCGTGAGCTGATGCAACAGCAGAGCAACTCAGGGTTTGTGCTGCGAGACGAGCCGCAGCTCTTCAGGCTTCATCCAGCAGGTCAGAATTTAATCAGTTGCCTTAACGAAGATAAAGCGAGCTGCTAAGAGCAGTAAACGCTGCACGACTGATCTTGATCCGGTGTTTACATGACAGAATTGTTTGTTTCTCGTTAGTTATGTCAGCAAATATGCTTACTGGGGCTTCCTGAATACGCAGCCAGAGCCGTGCATCCCTCCCGGCTCAGCGGGGTGCTGCTTTTTCATTGATCTGGCAATTTCTCCTCTGGAGCCACGACCACTAAAGCGTTTGGCAGGCGGCGTTATGGCAGGGAGGAAATAACCACTGTGAGCTGCAGAAGGCTTTCATCCGTGGGTATCTCCACAGAGCGAGCACGTGCGTGCGTGTGGGCATAGATTTTTAGGTAAAAAATATAAATTGATATCTTTTAGAATCATAGGGTCAGGTTGGAAGGGGGTTTATTGTATAGATGCAGCTACTCGAGTAGCTCGTGTACAGGATTTTGTGAGGAGCTGCTAAAACAGGTTTATAAATCACTCTTACAGCTGGGACTCAAGGGTCTGTTATTAAAACGTCCCTTGACCTTGTGTCTTCGGAGCAAAATGATTCCCCACCTAATGGAATAATTAAAGTGTTAACTCGGCGCTGCCTTCCCGTGCATTAGCGAGCGTCAAAAGCGTTCGGTTCCGGGGGTCCACTAATTACCATGCCACAACACAAAGGCTGCCTTGTAATTAAGGCTTCGTTTTCCTGCTGCAACCCTTGGTGTTTGCTCGGAGCAGTTGCACTGAGAGGAATGATGCTGCTTCTGCTGCTCTGCTCCTTTTTTTTCTTGAGGGAGCTGCCCTGCACCTGCCACCGTTCCCAGAAGTGTGTCCAAGCCTGGAAAAGGTAGCTTGGGGCTTTTTGGGGGCTGGTTGATGCTGGTTGGGTTGGGAACCTGATGATTTGTGACGTGAGGGGGAAAATCTAGCATGCCTGTAGTCCAACTTAGCACAAAATGCTGTAATTTAATAAAACCTGTGCTTTGTAAAGCCTCCCCTGCCTGGTTTGAGCTGCATTTAATACGTTACGAAGGAGCCAGCTTCACCTCCTTGGGTTTTGTGCCGAAGCCATTTAGGGATTGTGCTAATGAGCTTGTCAGAACATAAAGCCATTTCGGTAGCTGGGGCCTCACTCGCGCTCTCTCCAGAGAAAATTCGTCGCTGTGTAACGGAGGTCTAGACAAATTATGCCTGCTTTTAATTGCCGGGTTACATGCTGTAAGGCTCCATCAGTAAGGAAATAGGCTTGGTAATTCAGCTCCAGCAAAGAAAAAAAAAGGTGTTGGTGAGTAACCTGGGGGTGAGTTCCCTCTGTTAAATCACAAATTGGGTGTGCAGTTGTTGTTCTTCACTAACATCCAGCATTATTACCCCAAAAAACTCGGGGCTGCTCCATATCGCTGCATCACAATCCATAGCGTGAGGGCTTGTCAGAATTGGGCAGGAAACAGATTTTCAGTGAGTTTATTCCCTGCAAGATATCAAAACAAAAGATGGGAGGACTCATTGAAAAAGAACAACGAGTGGATTTTCCTTCTAAATTTCAGTGGCCATATTGCAGGCACAGACTGTGATTTTTAGGAACTTCAGAGCTATTTTATCCTGTAGAATCTTGGAAACTTCCATTTTTATTAGTTTACTAGGCAGTTATTGAAACAATTCTCAATGGATAAGGCTTAATACCTCTAGAAATCGAGTTCCTTATTTTCTTTGCGGCTTCTCTGTTGAACAGTGTGGAATTATTTTACTAACTTGCCAACCAAATCTTCCCCAATGAAACAGGAAAGCGTGGGGACAGCTGCAGAATGGGAACCTTCCCCATAACCTCTACAAAATCTTCCATTAATAACATCGTTCCGTAATGCATTCTGATTTACTGTCCGAGGTAACTTTCATCTGGGATTTTTAATTCCTATCAGATTATTTCGGAAGGGCTCCACATTTAACGAGACTTACTGATGTACAAATTACGATCGCTTTGTGCTGGGTATCAAATATTCACGTGAAGGTGGATCTTGGGCCAGTGACAAGCCATCGCTTTGTCCACTAGGTTATGGGTTAGGATTCTGCAATTTTCTGAGATATGAACTGTTTTTTTTCCCTTCCATGCAAAGCTCTTGTCTGTCAGTATCGAAACTTCTCAGGCTGCTGAGCGAAGCACCGACAACCCACCAGGACAGCCCAGAAAACTCAATAAAACGCTGATGTCTCCCAGCACAACGTCTGTCTCCTGGTCCTAAATGCTCAGCCCTCTTTTAAAGGTAGCAAATGGCACAGTGAGAGTTCCTGCAGGAGATTTGGGATGGAGCTGGATCCCCAGTCCTCTGCTCTTTGTTTCTTTGAATCTTTATCCTTTCATATTAAGCTTTAGGTTTCTCTGCAGTGCTGGATGTGTACATCTTGATGTTACCAGCTCCAGATTCATCTCATTTCGCTCTCTTTTCCCCCTTGGATGCCCCCCCACAGCCTCCTCGCTTCCCATCCTCCAGCACGTAGCTCCCTGTGAGTTCCAGTGTCACTTCTGTGCCTGAATCCTTAAGAAATCACTTGCAGCCATTCTTCCTTCTCTGCCCAACACTGCCTGCAAGGTTTCCACATCAGAGTTTGCCCCACTGAGGACACAGAAGAAATTTAATTCCTTGTCCTGCTTGGGGAGAATAATGGCCGTGATTTTTTTTTTTCACCTTCTTGGCTGTGGCACTGGTTTGCTGGCCTTCATTCAGCACTTTTGGGTCGCACCAACACACGTTTCAATACCAGGATCTTCCAGCAACACAGGACGTGCTGCCCTCCTGTACTGCTGCACCTCTGAATCTACAGGGACACCGAGCTGCTGGACGCTTTCTTCTCCTTCTGGCTGCAGAGAAAGGGTGTCAAAGGAAAAATCAGAGTGAAAACGGTGATATTATTGTCCTGGGGTTAAATAGGTGCGATAGAGGGGAAAAAAATTGGCTTTTGGATCCTCTGGGTTTCAGCTGAGAGTGATCCAGGAGAGCCTTGATGCTGAGATTCGTGCTGTATTTCGGGGAATCTTCCCGGTGCTTAGTCTGGGGACTTGGTGCCCAGAATCTGTCAGGGTTGGTTTTGCTCTCTTGTGGACAGAGAAGGGGAGAGGGAGAGCCCTGGAGGCCTCCTTCCAGCAGTACCTGGCACACTTCACGCTTCTCAAACAGCCCCGGGCTGGATTTGGGTTTTGGCAGGAGAACTTTCTCACGGCTGAAGGGCCGTGGCCCCACGAGTAACCCTTTTTTCCTGCATCCAGCAGCTCAGCTCTTTTTCCCCCACCCTTTGATTTTCGTCTGCTTGCTGGGCACGAATTCTTCAGCATTGCAGAGCTCGGAGAATGAGAATTAGGGAGGTGTTTCTCTCTCTTGGCTCCGGGGAATAGGTTTTGTGTGGCTCTCAGACCTTCAGCCAGCTGCATTTAACTCCTGCTATGGACAAAAACCCCAAATCCTCACCAAAACGTGAGTTTTGTGTGTACAAACACAGCACGAATATACAAGCATGTGCACACCACGTTATATCTGCTTACGGACCTGCCACTGCCTGTGACATTTTCCAGGGAGATAAGGGAGCTGGCATGGGTCCCGCGGAGCAGTGGGGTCCCTAAATAGCAGGCAGCTTTCTGCCCATCCTAAAGTTCCCCTAATTGGATTTGTTCGCCTATGCCGTGGCTGATAAGCAGGAGGTTAATAAGAAAGAAAGTTGATTTCTCCTCGGTGCCAAATCCTCTTTTTACTCGAGTAATTTAGGGGAGAAGTGCAGCTAAAGGCGTCGGTTTTATTCCTGGCCTTAATGTTAAAAAAAAAAGGATTATTTTATTTTAAACAGCCTTTCTGTCAGCAGTTTGGTCTAAATGCAGTAATTCCGCTTGGTTCCCAGCATCTCAGGGCTTTTTTTTTTTTTTTAAAGCATCCTCCCCTTCCCTTCCATAACCTGCCTCCCTGCTTGGCAGCCTTCGGTGCTGGGCGTTGTAAAAAGGGGGGCACAAACGGTGATGTCCCCACTTAAAACGTGATCGAAACTCTTTTCTGCAGTGCTGTTTCCTCATTTAGGCACAGGACTCTAAAGAGATCTTTAAAACTGATGGGGGGCCTCACAAAGTCCATAAAAATGAGCTTGAGATCACCAAATACCGAATATTTGGGGAGTAAAAGTCATTTTAGGGACAGAGCTCAGTAAAGGAGGAGGGTCAGAGCCTTCTGTACCCACACGTGGCGGAGTTGGGAGCTTTATTAAAGCTTGGGAGATTTATTGAAGACTGGAATTTAGACACATCTGCATTATTTTCTCACTGAATTCGCCTAAATTCTTCGTCGAGGCTGGGTGACACCTGGATGGGAACGCCCAGCTTTGAAATCGTTTGAAATTTGAGCTGGAATCAGCAAAATAAATCAAGTTTTGGCTCCGCCAGACCCATAATCTAGGGCAAATTCCTGGAAAAACAGATCTTTTTTTCGGACTTTTCAGTGTCTGAGGCTGAAGGCTGAGCATGGGCAAGTTTTGGGGTCTGGGTAATAAACCTGTGCCAGAAATCAGGCTTCCAAGCAGCAGAAACAGAGAGGTGCTGAAAGGTTCGGTGCTTGCAGGCTGCAACATTTCATCTCCAGCAACAAAACCCTGCTCATGAGGAATAAAGGTTATGTTTGGTGCCAGGCTTTGTGGTGCCGGCAGCACGGAAAGGATGCATCAGCTCTTTGTTCGAGCTGGATCAAGCAGGGTGCACATCTTAAAGTCCGATTGTTTTCATCTGTTCCCTGTCTTTTTGTTCTTTTTTGCAGCTTTTCCGACGCGTGGCAGCTGCCCTGCCTGGCATGGAAAGCACACAAGACAAAAGTAGAGAAGACAGTATCCTTTACCTGCCCTCCACGGGGGGTGAAAGCCTCGGGCAGCTCACGGACATCCCCAAAAAAAAAGAGGGGCAACGAGGCAAAGAGCCCCCGAGCTTCGAGTGAGGGTTGGAGGCTGCTGCGGTGAAGGAAAGGAGGCAGGGAGTGCGAAAACGAGGACGGCTGGATAAAACCGAAGGGAGGAGGATGGGAAAGTGCAGAGGGGTGCAGCCAAAAAGGATTATTTGGGTGGTTTTGGGACAGGCTGGTACAAAGAGATGAAGCGGGGTGGCCGTGGTTGCTCGGTGTAGCTCTGAAGGTGAAATTTCTGAGCTTCTTCCCACATTTTGCTCTGCTGGGCTACAAATTTCTCCTCTTTTTGGTGAAAAGAGGTGACGGAGGAGCCAGAGATGGGCTCCTGCCGAAACTATCTCCTCGGGCAGGTCACCAAAAGGTTAACGAGCAGCCACCTTCGTTAAGGAGGGGATGAGGGCAGGCTGCAGCATCGCTCTGCTGGGTCCCTACACGGGATCGTGTCCCAAACAGCTGCGTTGGGATTAGGGGGGGAATTTCCCGCAGGGTTTTTTCACCGAGCTGAAGGATCTCGAGCTGCCCGTGCTCTGAGGGAGCTGCCAGGGCTCGTTAATTGCCCAGCTGGTGCGAAATGTAGGGGAGCAGGAGTTACAGAGGTGAGCTTCCTCCAAAAAAAAGGACCCCGGGGGCTTTCCGGGATGGGATCTGACCCTAAACATCTCGTGGGAACGGTGCCGGGACAAGAGGGGCTGCTGAGAAACCTGCAGCGTGGATTTTGGTTTGAAAGTGGTCTTTTGGAGAGCACGAAGAAGCGTTTTTGTGGGAAACGGGGGGCGCTGAGCCGAAAATCCCTATAAAAAAGAAAAAAACCAGGTAGGGAGATGGAACTGAATTCTGTTTGCCTTAACTTAACTCCTTCCAGTGATCGACATCAAACTGGAAAAGCCTCAAGAGCAGCCTGTCAGTGAAGGAGGCTGCTCCTGCTAATACCACGTGGCTTCTCCCCTTTTCTCCAGAACATCACAGCTTCCCCTCCCTTTACTCTTCATTGACTGCAGTGTGAATATTGGCTTGAACCTTCCCCTTTCAGTAATAACGTATCGCAGTTCATCATCGCTGGCTGTCTCGTGGAGATGATCTATTAGCTTCACAAGCACACACACACACACCCCCACACCAAGAAAATGTCAGTGTCTTCATTTATTTATAAGAAAAAAAGAAAAAAAAAGCCAAAATATTCCAGCGTATTCTAGTTATAACTTGAAAAAAAAAAAGAGAAAAAAAACGAAAAAAAAAAAACAAGAATAGGTACAATTTCTTAATATTTGTTCCTTTTTTTAATATGTTAACGAGATTGCACTTTGAAACGGTGGGAACCCAGGAAGTTTTGAATTAGACGAGCAGTAGGTGCGGGAGAAAACGCTTGCAAAACCTCAAAAACACCCGGCGAGGGCCAGGCAGCAGGCGGAGGGTGAAGCAAACGCTGGCCTTAACCCGTAATAAAAGACGACGACAACGAAAAACAAGCTCTAAAATCCTTCGAGGTAGTCCGAGGGGGTTTCCAAAACCCCAGAGCTTTTTTTTGGGGGGGGGTTTGAGAGCAGGACGGGCTGCCGGGAGCTTTTAGTTCTGGCCGAGGCGAGGCGAGCGCGGTGGCGAGGCGGCGTCCCGCAGGGGGTGGCCGGCTTGCGAAGGGTTTTTTTTTGGTTATTTTTGGTGAGGGGGGGGAAAGGTGGAAAGCGAAACACTTGCAGGAAACAAAAGAAAAGAGGCTTGGAGTGCAAGATGAGGTTTTTTTATTTTATTTTTTTTTTAAAGAGCATTTTTTTCCTTTTAGGTAGAGCCACCCACCAAACGGTGACTGCCCGCCGGGTGGGAGCGGAGCGGGGCAGCCGCGGCGGGGGGAGAAGGAGTTTGCTGCTTTTTGAGTTTTCTTTTTTTAAAAAATAAAGGGGGAAAAAAAAAAACCTTACCCCAGGACTGGGGGGCCGCCGCCGAGCCCTGCCTGGGGCCCTTTTCTTTTGGCAGAGGGACGCGGAGCGGCGCCAGGCCAGGCGGGGACGGGGAGAGAGGGGCGGCAAAAGGGGGCTTGGGCCACGCAGAAACGTAGCTGGAAGAGCGTAGAGGGAAAGGAAAGGAGTTGTAGGATGGAAACCAACTTACGATTATGCAGATTAATGCCTTGATTTTTTTTTTTTAGCTTTTTTTTGTTTTTTTTTTACGTTCCGTCTTCCGAGTTGGGTTTAGTTTTTTTTCACTAGAGCTGTATAGTTTGGGTGAATAACGAGTAATTTAGTTTCCTATTTAACTAGGCTTACGATTAACCGGTTTTCTTCGATATTTATTTCCTTGCTTAATTTTTTTTTTTTACGATTTCCAGTATATATATATATTTTTTTCCCTTTCGTTGCTGAGGAATCCGTGTAGAGCTTCGCTGGCGTTGCGCGATGTAGCTACCCGATGAAACACAGAGAAGCGAGCACACTCGAAGTGCACCCTTTTAACCTTTACTAGTCATTGTGAAGTTGCTGTGTAAGTTCCTAAACACAACTTGTAAATACCTTGTTTGCTGGGCGAGTACGGCTGGGTCGCAGTGCAGGAAGGAATTGGGCGAGCCTGGCTTGCGATTGCCGCTCCGGGAACAATTGCAAGCGAATATTCAGGCTCCTCCTTCGTTCCCTTCTTGCCCCTCTACCACCTAAAATTACCAACCGGGGAAGGGAAGGGAATCGTCCTCATCAGTTTTCACCGGGAAACGGGCACGGGAAGCTTTTTGGAGTTCTTCATTCCCGAGACGAACGCCAGGCGCGTGCCCTGCCCTGGGTGTAGAGCAGCTCTGCACACCGATAAGCGAAAGGCAGAAGGAGATGTGGAAGTGCTTTTCTTTTTGACGTGGCATGTCTTGAAATAAACATCGACGATATGTGACCAAGGATCATTCTTTATTTAAAAAGAAACTCTCGAGGGGAAGGAAACCTGGCTACTTTTCCTGTATTGTACTGTTCCTAACTGTGCGAAAACCATCCATCATCTCGCTGCTTTTTTTTCACGTTGGTCCTTCCATTGCTTTCCACGACCACTTCCATTTTTTCTTTTTTTGGGCTCTGGCCTAACCCAAACCCGACGTTTCCTCGCAGCTCTGAGCTTTAAGCACTGGCTTTGCAGGGCGCTGCCTCGGGGATGTGGGTTTTGGTGATCAGGTTCGGGAGGCATCCCCGTTACCACCCTCGAGCAAAACCCTCACAGGGGTTGCACCCAACACCACAGGGACCAAATTTTTGGTCCCCGAGGTCTGCTCAGGACCTCCAGGTGCGTTTCAATTTTGCTGGTCCTGCAGCCGGTGCTTAAGGCGACAGCGGGGCTCCCTCCTGCCCTTCTCCTTCCCAAAATAAAACCTCTCCCAGGGGAGCGCAGGAGCAGCAGTCTGCAACTTGCTTGCGCCCTGATGCCTCCTGCCATCTGTCTCTTCATTTTTTATTTTTTTTTTGGCTTCTGATTTGATTTTTGCTCCATCAGCATGGCCGGTAGGGACCATGGGACCAGGCTTCTTTTGCGACGACTTTGTTTAAAAAAAAAAAACACAAAACAAACAAAAAAAAAACAGCGAAGGTTTCTGCTCTGTTTCTTTTCTCCTCCCCGCTCTGGCTTGATTGTTGTACAGTCCATCCTGCGGCTCCCCATCCCTCACTTTTTGTCTTGAATCCGAGTAAGTGGAAGAAATTTGTTCTAAAGGGGAAAAACAAAAACAAAAAAAAAAAAAAGGTTCCTTTTCTTCATGTCGGAATGTCACTGGTACCTCAGCTCTGTTTGATAATATGAAACGACGACGAAATCCTTAGCGCTTGAACTAAATAAATCCCTGTCTCATTGGAAAGCTCCGGCTCTCTTCTCTCTCTCTTTGGGGTCTGGGTCAGACGGGGAGCGTCCATCCCATTGCACGGTCAATTTTTGATTTAGACGGGTGCTGCCGGGTAAATTTGGGCCGGCCCCAGGCTTGGCAGCCTCCCCTCTCAGCACAGAGCCCTGGTGCCTCGCTCCCAGCGCCCAAATCTTTAAGAAACGGGGCGGGGAGGGGGCTGCCTGGAGCAGCAGCCCCTTTTTCCACGCCGACCCCAAAAGGAAGAGGAGCAGGGGGTGGGTATTGAAGATGGAAGATGCTCGCTTGTGGGGTGAGCACGGCAGGCAGGACCCAAAACCACCTGGAGGATGCTCAGCCTCTGCTTCCCTGAGCTGTGACAGCAGCCGGGTCCCTTTTTCCCCCTTTTTAGCCCCATTTTCCTTCCCCACCGTGCGTAAACCCCAAATGCAGCTTTTTAGGGGACGGATTTTGGGATCCTGAGCACCACCACGGTCACGAATCCCAGGAGCTAAAAACCCTGCTGGGGCTGTTTGGGGCTTTTCCTGCTACCCCCTGTGGGGCTCCTGCCTCCAGGAGCTGCCGTTTCCCGCCCCCCTTCCCATTTCCCAGGCTAAATTTGGGGATAAAAAAGCAATTTTGAGCACTCGGGCATTTCCCTCACATTGACCCTACCACCGTGAGGGACTAATTAGCGGTGAGGCTCCATCGGCACTAATTAGCGGTGGCAGAGAAGCAGGCTGGTGGCTCGGGGTCCCCAGTGGAGGTGGCTTCGCCCCACTGGTCCCAGTTTGGGGCCGTGCGTCCCGCTGCCCTTGGGGACCCCACCATGAGGCCCTAAAGAAGCCGGGGACGTTTCCCCCGGTCCCACATCCTCCCCAAAACCACCCCCCTGGCTCCCCCCGACCCGCAGCCCCCTCCTCACCCTCACGCGCCCGCAGAGCTGGGTCTGGGTTCGGCCGCTTTTATTCATTTGCCTTTAGGGTTTTTTTTCTGGTTTTGCCCCAAATCTCGAGGCGCTTCGCAGGATGGGGGTTGCAGCAGCAGCAGTGACGCGAAGGAGGCCGGGGGGGGACATTTGGGGTCATCCCGACCCCTGGTGTGGAGGAGAGGGGTTGGGGGGGTTTGGGACAGAAAGCGAAGCCCCCAGGAGCTGAAGCTTTGAGAACAGGAACCGGGCGCTGTTGGGTTTCTGGATTTTGGGGTTTTTTCTCTCGTTTCTGTGATCCTCGAGCTCCTCATTTCACGTCCGAGGTGGCTTCAGGGTGAGGGGCCACGTCCCGGTGTCCGCCTCGTGCTGCCCCCACGCAGAAAGGAGACCCCCCCTCGGTGCCACCACCCCGCATTTGGGGACCCCACAAGTGGCCGTCCCCACACCCCAAACCCTTTTTGAAGCCCAAAAAAGGGTTTTTGGGCCTCGGGGCCCAGCGAGCGGCGCCTTCGCCCCCCTGATGCTTCCCCATCCCAAAAACCTTGGTGCTGCGTGCCCCCCTGGTGCTGTCCCCCCCAGTGTGCCTGGGGGCTCTTCCAGCCCCAATCCTTGGGGTTTTGGCCCCAATTCCCAAGGGTTTGGCCCCAATTTTCAGCGTTTGGTGCCCGTGTCCCACCCCGGTGCCCCAGGGGGGGAAGATTTGGTGCCACAAAGCCCCCCTGCTCCGGGGGAAAGCGGCGCTGAGCGTCCCGCTGCGGTGCTGGATCCCCCTCAAAAACCCTCAAAAAATAAAATAAAATTAAAATAAATTAAAAAAAAAAATCAAAAAAAAATCAAAAAAATAAATTAAAATAAATTAAATTAAAATAAAATAAATTAAAATAAAATAGCAATTTTGCCAGAAAATGTCACCTACCTCCCGGAAACTGCTTTGGGGGGGGGCAGCACCCCTCCCACCATCCCCAAACCCAAGGTTTTTACTCCCAGCCCCTGGAGGTTTTGGGGGTTGCAGAGCGGTGCCGAGGGGGGGCAGATTTGGGGATTTGGGGTCCTTGGAGCCGCGTGCGGGTTTTGGGATGCAGAAGCCGGGATCAGGGGGGGCTGGAGAAGCGAAGGGGCCGCGTTTTATGGGATGGGGGGGCTAAAACCAGCACGGCATCCACATGAAGGAGCCCAGGGCGGCGCCGGTGGCCGCCCCCGCCAGCAACCCCAAAGCCATCTGGTCCCCGGAGACGCGGTAAGGATCCTCCCGCACGATGACGTGGGTCACCCCGGGGGCTGCAAGGCAAAACAGGGCTGGGGGGGCACCCCAAAAAGGCGCCCCAACCCCATACACACACACAGACAACACCGAGACCCCCCCCCGAGCACCCTCATCCCCCAAACCCCATCCCCGTAGCACCCGGCTTGCTCTCAGCCTCCCCAAAATCCCCAAACCGGGCGTAAATCGCGCCCCCCCCAGCCCAATTTGGTGCCCCCCAAACCCCAAATTTATGGGGTGAGCGGGGATTTGGGGCCACCCACCTCCGTACTGGTGGCCGTAGTGGCCCGAGCTGACGTAGGCGGCCTGGTGGGAGTCGATGGGCACCGCCTGGTAGTAGTCGTCGTCGTAGGGGTCGTAGACGTGCACCTGGAAAAGGGGTTGGGGTGGGGGGGACACGAGGCCTGGCACCCCGGGATGTGAAGGGTTTTTTTTTTTCCCCGAGTGGCTGGTGGGGACGCTCACGGTGCCCAAATTTTGTGGGAGGTGTTGCTGAGGCATCCCGATCACCTCTCTGCTCTTGGGGTCCTCTGTCACCCTAAGCGATGCCTCCGTTCTCCTTAACTATGCCCCGTCCCCTTAATTCTGTCCCTGTTACCCCTAAATGTGTCCCCGTCACCTTAACTCTGTCCCTCATCCCCTTAACTCTGCCCATTCCCCTTAATTCTGCCCCCATCACCTTATATCTGCCCCCATCACCTTAACTCTGCCCCTGAACCCCTTAAATGTGACCCCATTCCCCTAAACTCGGCCCCCATTCCCCTAAACTCTTCTTCCATCCCATTAACTCTGCCCCCATCACCTTAACTCTACCCCATTCCCCTTAACTCTGCCCCAATTCCCCTTAACTGTGTTCCCGTCCCCTTAACTCTGCCCCTGAACCCCTTAACTGTGTCCCCATCACCTTAACTCTGTCCCTCATCCCCCTAACTGGGACCCCATCCCCATAACCCTGCCCATCTTCCCCTTAAATGTGACCCCATCCCCTTAACTCTGCCCCAATTCCCCTTCACTCTACCCCTGCTCCCCTTAAATGTCTCCCCATCCCATTAACTCTGCCCCATTCCCCCTAACTCTGTCCATAAACCCCTTAAATGTGACCCCATCACCTTAACTCTGCCCCCATTCCCCTTAATTCGGCCCCCATTCTCCTTAATTCTTCTTCCATCCCATTAACTCTGCCCCCATCACGTAAGGTGACGCCCCCATTCTCCTAAACTCCTGCCCCTATTCCCCTTAACTCTATCCCTGAACCCCTTAAATGTGATCCTATTACCTTAACTCCGCCCACAGTCCCCTTACATGTGTCTCCATCCCCTTAATTCTTCCCCCATTCCCCTTAAATCTACCCCATTCCCCTTAATTTGGCCCCCATTCCCCTTAACTCTTCTTCTATCCCCTTAACTCTGCCCCCATTCCCCTAAACTCTCCCCCATTCCCCTTAAATCTGCTCCCATCCCCCTAACTCTGCCCCACTCCCTTCACCCCATGGGGGAGGCACCGATCAGCCCAGACCCCCGGGCTCACCCCCACATTTACGGGGCTGCGTTTGGGGCCACCGGAGCCCCCTCCCCGATACCCAACCCCCTTTTGGGGGATATTTTGGGGTGGCGGGAGCCTCACCGGGGTGGATTTCGCCTCCAGCAGGGCCAGCTTCCACGCCCTGCGAACGAAGCAGAGGGAGGAGGACTGAGGGGGGGGGACACCCGGTGGCTCCCCTGATCCCACAAATCCCCCGGTGACCTGGATTTGTTAATTATTAATTCCTAATTAACCGGGGTGTGGGGTTGGGGTGGGGACACCCCATCTGCGTGAGGCAGGGAAATGATGCCTAAATTGGGGGGAAAAGCGGAAAATTGGGGAGTTTCCATCCAGCTGTGATCAAGATCGGGATCCTAACACTTTCCTTCATCCCCTTTAAGCCCATTTTAAGGGTTTTGACCCCAAAATGAAAATAAAAAGGGATCAGAGCTGACCGTGGGTGTTTCCCCGTGCAGGGCACGGCCCCGATCCCATAAAGATTGGCATCATTTATCAACAAACCCCGATGGAAACGCGGCCACGGCCGCTCGTGGGTGGCCGAGGGGTGGTTTCTCACACCACCGAGGCTCTTTTAGGGTCGGGATGGTTGTAGGGTGAGGCCACTGAGGGGATTCGGGTGCTTACACGGCGTCGTCCTCGCTCTCGGCGCACAGCGAGGTCTTGGAGGCGTCCCGCAGCACCAGGCTCAGCAGGCACTCGCGGCTCTTCCCCTCGGGGGGCTGCACGTCTGGAGGGTAAAAAGGGTTTGGGGACACGGGGTTTGGGGTCACGGGGCAGGGATGGACTCAGCGAGGGGTAGGGGTGTCCTATAGGGCCCCATAGGGCTGGCCAAAGGGAGCGGGGTTGGGTTTTCATCCCAAAAGCCACGCTCGTAATTTTGGGGTTTGGGGTTTGGGTTGGGCTCCTGCTCTGCTCGTGTTGGGAGGTTGGGTGTGAGCAAAGGGTTGGGGACGCGGGGTTTGGGGCCATGGGGTTTGGGGACAGGAGTTTGGGGCCACGAGGTTGGGCCACGAGTGTCTGGGGATGGGAGGGGAGGGTTAGGGGCCACGTGGGTTTTGGGGACACGAGGGTTTTGGGGCATCGAGGTTTGGGGACAGGGAGTTTGGGGAGATTGGGGTTTGAGGATGGGGGGTTGGGGATGACACGAAGTTTGGGGACAGGGGTTTGGATACGGGGCTTTGAGGACATGGGGTTGGGGGACATCGAGGTTTGGGTAGAGGGGGTTTGGGGACATGGGGTTTTGGGACAGAAGGGTTTGGGGATGCGAGGGATTGGGGACATGATTTTTGGGAACAGGGGATTTGGGACACGGGGTTTGGGGGACAGGGGGTTCGGGGTCACAAGGGTTCGGGTCACAAGGGTTTGGGGACTTGGGGCTTGGGGATGACACAGGGTCTGGGACACGAGGGTTTGGGGGACGTGAAAATGTGGACAAGGGGTTTGGGACAGGGGGGTTTGGGGACGGGGAGTTCGGGGACACGGGTTCGGGGACACGAGGGTTTGGGACACGGGGGAGGGACAGAGGTTTGGGGACACAAAGTTTGGGGACCACAAGGTTTGGGGACACGAGGTTGTGGGATGCAAGGGTGTGGGGACGACACGGGGTTTGGGGACAGGAGGGTTGGGGGACATGGGGTTCGGGGACATGGGGGTTTGGGGACAGAGAGTTTGGGGACACAAGGTTTGGGGACACGGGTGTGGGTCATGAGGGTTTGGGGACAAGGAGTTCAGCGACACAGGGGTTTGGGGACATGAAGTTTGGGGACGGGGGTTTAGGGATGGGGGTTTTGGGACGCAGGGTGTGGGACATGAAGATGGGGACACGAAGTTTGGGGACATGGGGTTTTGGGGACAGGAGGGTTTGGGGACAGGGAGTTTGGGGACAGAAGGTTTTGGGGACCACAAGGGTTGGGACAGAGGGTCGGGGACATGAGGGTTTGGGGGACGCGAGGGTTTGGGATGACACGGGTTTGGGGACACAGGGTTTGGGGACGTGAAAATGGGGACAGGGGGTTCGGGGACACGGGGAGGGACAGGGGCTTTGGGGACACGGGGGTTTGGGACAGGGAGTTGGGATGTGGGGTTCGGGGACACGGGTTAGGGGACCACAAGGTTTGGGGACACAGGGTGTGGGGACAGAAGGGTTGGGGACATGAGGGTTTGGGGGACATGGGAGTTTGGGGACACAAGGTTTGGGGACACGAGGAAGGGACAGAAAGTTTGGGGACATGGGGTTTGGGGACACGGGGTTCAGGGACAGAAGGTTTTGGGGACCACAAGGTTTGGGGACACAGGGCTTTGGGGACACAGGGTGTGGGGACACGACGGTTTGGGGGACGTGAGGGTTTGCGGGACATGAGGGCTTGGGGATGACATGGGGTTTGGGGACATGAAGACGGGGACACGAAGTTTGGCGACATGGGGGTTGGGGACCGAAGGTTTTGGGGACCAAAAGTTTTGGGGACAGAAGGTTTTGGGGACAGAGGGTTTTGGGGCCGGGGGTTGTTGCTCGCCTCGGCACTCGGGGCCGATCCTGACGTCGCGGCAGCTGTGCTTGATGTGCAGGCGGCCGTCCATGTCGCGCTGCGTCTGGTCGTGGTAGTAGAGCAGGCTGCCGTCCAGGTACAGCACGAACCAGTTCCTCTTCCAGCGCCGTAGGATCGAGCCTAAAAGGGATCGAGCGGGACTTGTAGGATCGTGCGGTCCCACCCCATTTGGGGTGCAGCCAACGCCGTCCCCCAAATCCCCCCGGGGACGCCTGGCGGCGGTGACGACCCCGACAGCGCGGCCAGGTGGTTTCGGTGATGCGCTTGGAGCAAACCCCAAAAAGCTGCCAAAAAACCCTATAGGATGCCTCCGTGCTGCTCTGTAGGATGCGGAACGGCCCCATCCACTACTCTAGGGGCTCCTCTCCTCTTTGTGACCCCCCCCCGGCACCCCAAAGCTCCCCACTCACTCTGCCGCCAAAGCCAGCCGCTCTTCACCAACGCCATGGCCACGGGGAGGTTTTTGGGATCTGTAGGGTCGAGGGGAAACAGTGGGGTTAGGGGAGCAGCTCCCTGTTTGCCTGCATCCCGTTCCCTGTCCCCTTTTTGGGGTTTGGTAACCCGGGGAGCGCTCGGGCGGGGAGAGCTCCGGCCACCTTGCTCCGTGCCCCTATAATCTCCTCGGGATTTAGGGATTATCATCCCGAGGAGGTAACCACCCCCCCCCCCGAATCCCCCCCCCGGTAACTTTCCACGGCCCCCGCTCGTTTGTTTTCCCTGCCTGGATGGAAATTAGTCCTTAACGAGGCCGTGAAATCATCGCTCCCCGGGGCCCCGAGCACCACCCCATATCCCCATCCCCCTGTACCCCACCCCCTTGTACCCCCATCCCCTTTTAACCCCATCCCCGGCACTTTTATCCCCTTGTACCCCATCCCAGCACCCCCACCCCATTAATCCCAGCCCGATCCCACCACCCCCTTACCTCCCACCCCCTCGTACCCCGTCCCTAGCACCCCTATCCCCCGTTACCCTAACTCCGAGGACCCCCATCCCTTTGGAACCCCATCCCCGGACACTTTTATCACTTTTTACCCCACAAACCCCCCTTTTTACCCCACAACCCCCCCTTTTTACCCCCTCCCCAGTTTCCTCATCCCCCTGTCCCCCATCCCCTACCACCCCCCTCCCCTTTTCACCCCATCCCTTTTCACCCCATCCCCGCTACCCCCATCCCCTGACTCTCCCCTTCCCTCTCCCCATCCCCGTTCCCCCCCAAACCCTCCCAAAACCCCAAAAACCCCCTTGGGCACCCCTCACCGAGCGGCAGCAGCACGGCGGGTCCCCGCTAAGGGCTGCGCTCTGCTCCCGCTGCCCGTCCCTACCCACACGCACGGGGCTTCGGGAGCTGTAGTCCTGCTCGGGGAACGCGGCCTAAAGAGCTGCAGAGTCCCCAAAAGGACCACGATGGCTTTAGGATGGGGTTTTAGGGTCGCTGGGCACGGTGGTGCAGCCAGGAGGGATGCCCTGGGGATGGTGGTGCAGGGGGGGGATGCTGCGGACGGCCCCCGCATCGCCTGCGGCCCTAAAAGCAGCTGTGGGGTCGGGGTTGGGTTGAGATTCGCCTGCCCCGATGCGAAATCCCAAAAAAAAAGCAGGGCTGGGAGGAGCGGGGGATCCATGAGGAGGTTGCGGCTCCAAACCCTGAGCCCCCCCTGACCTCGCCGAGCTTTAATCCCCCCTGCGGTGCCCATGGGGAAAAGCTGGGAAAAAAAAACCCTAAAAAACACTGAGCTCGTGGCACGGGTGCTGTTTTTTTTTTTTTTGGGTCTGTCGCTGCTGCTGCCACAGGTGGGGGTCCCGTGGGTGCCATAAACACAAATTTGGGGTGATGGAGAGGGGGCAGCAGCCCCAAAACCCAGCTCCTCTTATCCTCTGCTCCTCGTCCATAAAAGCCATACACACACACATAAATTGTGTCTATTCCCGCCGTGCAGGCGTTAAAATCCCAACCAGGTTATTTATAAGCGGGGTGATAATTAATATTAATATAGAATTAATATATGGGCTGATAATTAAGATGTTTATTAAGATTTCGGCAGCCCTTAAGGTAAAAAAAATTCATCGATTCCAGCTTTTTACTATAAAAACCTTTCCCCTCCCCTCCCTCCAGAGCTGGCTTTACAGCCATAAATTGGTAAAATTTGTTCGGCCATAAATTGGTAAAAAAAAGACTTTCTTAGGTCAAACTTTGGCTGAAAATTTAATTAATTTGAGGCCGATGTTGATCGGACCCTCGGCCAGGCGCTGCGTTTGGTGTGATCAAGCCCAAAAGGTTTTCTTCTGCCACAGGGCTTGGGATAATTTGTCTCCTTGACAAGTTTATTCCGAGAAGAGACAAAAAAAAAGGTGGAAAAGAGCAGAAATAAAACCTGCAGGGAGCAAAAAATTAATGCAGCAGGATGCCGTGGCAGGCGTCGGGACCTTAAAACCAAAAGCAAGGCCATAAAAACCTCCCCGAATCGCTCAGCTCTCCTCTGGGGACGAACACGGTGGTGGTGCAGGATTTGGGGTGGCTGATTTATTTATTTTTGTTGCAAACTGTCTGTTTTTTGGTGTTATTTTTGATCTGCCTGGGATAAATTTGGGGCACGGTGGCTGGAAACGGTGATTTGGGGACTTTAAGGGGTCGCTTTTCTTTACAGCTGGCAAAGCTGGGAGGGTGGGAGAAGGGAGGTGGCCTCAAATGCTTGTGGAGGAGGACCGAATTTGTGGCTTTGCCCAAATTTTTGTAGTAATCAGGTGGAGCTAATTAGGAGAAACCCACTTGGAGACTTCCAGCTTGGAGAAACCCACTTGGAGACTTCCTCCAGGTAGGCTCCCAGGAGGCGCCTTGGGGCTGTGTTAGCGATGCTTGGAGTTTTGGGTGTAAAATGAGGGATTTCTGAAACTGTTCACACATCTCACACGACCAAGTGGAGCAGTGAAGGAGCAGGGGGGGATCGGGACGTTGTCCCTTGAGGAATTGCCTTTATGCCAGCTCTTTGCACCCCCAAATTTTGCCTCAGCCTCCTTGTGCCCCCCAGGAGCCCTTGGGCAGGTGAGGAGGGGATGGGAATGGGCCCGAGGACCTCAGTGAGGCCAGGACACCGCAATATTTGCTTTTTTTTTTGGTCACATATCTTTATAGGTGATTTGGATGAGGGAACTGAGAGCACCCTCAGTAAGTTTGTGTATGGCACCAAGCTGAGGTGCTCATCCCCCTGCTGAGGCCGCCCCTCGAGTGTTGGGTTCAGCTTCGGGCCCCTCACTCCCAGAAGGACATCGAGGCCCTGGAGCCTCTGCTCACAGGGAACCAGGGCCAGGAGCAGAGGGAACGGCCTCGAGTTGTGCCAGGGGAGGCTCAGGTTGGCAATGAGGAGACATTTCTGCTCAGCAAGAGCGCTCAGGCCTTGGGACGGGTTGCCCAGGGAGGTGGGGGAGTCCCCGTCCCTGGGGGTGTTCAAGGAGAGGTTGGACGTGGTGCTTGGGGACAGGGCTTGGTGGGGACATTGGTGGTAGGACCAGATGATTTTGTAGGGCTTTTCCAACCCTAATGACTCTGGGATTCTGTATATTGGGATGGGTCAGTAACCAGGAGTGAATAAAACCTATGTGCACCCATAGTGTGCTGTTTATGAGCCCTCATATCCCACTGGGTGCTGCTTTGATACAACACTCGGCATCACCCCAGACCAACATCCCATGAAGGGACATTTTGGGAGGGCTGGGAGCTTCGGGCAGGACATGGGGACAGGGACGGGGACATCCCCCTGCGGCACCACAGTCCCTGCACTGGGGTCCTGAGGCAGATGTTGACCTGCAGGGACTCCATTGCCCACCCCCTGAATGCCAGCACTTGCCAAAAAGCATTTTGTGTTTGTGTTTTGTGTTTGTTTGTGGTTTTTTGTGTGTGTTTTGTGTTGTAGGAAAGTGCTCCAGCCCTAAAAGCGGGGTGCTGAGCACTGGGGCGCTGTGTGATGGGGATGCACTGCACCGCTGCTGCTGGTCCTTCCTAAAAGGATTTATTTGTTTATTTATTGATTTATTTATTGATTTATTTGTTTGTTTATGTATTTATTTGTTTATTTATTTATTTGTTTATTTATTTATTGGTGGCCGCTCCCCCAGGCACGAGACCCCCCCCCCCCCCCCTCCCCTCAGCTCTCCCCCTCAGGGCTCTCCCCGCATGAGGCGATGCGGGCTAACCGCCGCACGGGGGGGTTCAAAACACACTTTTCCTCTTTATTTTATGCTTCTACTTGATTTTACACTCCTTTACAAGCCTGCCCGGCCTCCCTATGAACCGGGCCGGGCCGAGCCGGGCTCACTGAGGCTGCCCGGGGGCTGTGGGTTATGGGGCCCAGCCTGACGGGGCCCCTCACAGCCCGGCCACCCTCAGCGGCCTCCCCCCCCCCTTGAACTACAACCCCCAGCATGCCCCGCGGAACTACAACTCCCGGCATGCCTCGCTCCACCCCCCCCTCTCCGCACTACATCTCCCATCAAGCACCGCGCCTCCCCGCCTCCCCCCTCCTCACGTCTACCCGCGCCGGGACTACACTACCCATAGTGCCCCGCGGCGGGCGGCCGGCAGGCGGGCAGCGCCCGCGGCGCGCGGGGCACGCCGGGAGTTGTAGTCCGGGAGGCGGCGGTAACGGTCCCGCTGCGGTTCGCCCCCCCCCTTTTTTTTTTTTTTTTTTTTTTTTTTTCGGTCCCCGCCTGCCGCCGCCGCCCCCTCCTCCCCTCAGCGGCTGCGGGCAGAGGCAGGAGGCGCCGCGGAGGCAGCGGGAGCCGGGGACGGAGAAGCCGCAGGTGAGATTTGGGGGGGGGGGGGGGAGGCGGGGAGGGGACCCCCCCCCCTCAGGGGGCGGCTGAGGCGAGTCCTGAGGCGAGGGGGGGGGAGGGGGGGAGGATGAGGTGAGGGGGGGCGATATGGGGTGAGGGGGGGGCGATATGGGGTGAGGGGGCGATATGGGGTGAGGGGGGACGTGGTGAGGGGGGGGAGTTGGGTTTGGGGCCAGAAAGGGGCAAAACGGGGTCAGCAGCAGCCGGGGACAGCACCCAAGGGTGCTTGGGGGGGCTGGGGGTACCCAAGGGGGTGCTGAGGGTACCCAAAGGGGCTGGGGGACATTCAAGGGGGTGCTGAGGGCACCCATGGAGGCCGGGGGGGGCACCTAATGGGGTGCTGAGGGCACCCAAAGGGGTGCTGGGGGCACCCAAGGGGGCTGGGGGGGCACCTAAGGGGGTGCTGAGGGGGTTGGGGGGCACCCAAGGGGGTGCTGGGGGTAACCATGGGGGTGCTGAGGGCACCCAAAGGGGCTGGGGGGCACCCAAGGGGGTGCTGAGGGCACCCAAAGGGGCTGGGGGGCACCCAGGGGGGTGCTGAGGGCACCTATGAGGGTGCAGGGGGCACCCAAGGGTGCTGGGGGGCAGCCCTGGTTTACCCCCAGCAAAACCCCGCTGGGATTCCTGTCCCCAGTGGGGTCCAAGCCAAATTTCGCCTCTTCCCCTCGTGCTGGGGGGGTTCTCGCCTTGGTTTGTGGATGCACCCAGCCCCGTTTGGACCCCATAATTTGTTTTCGGGATGTCGGCACCGCTGGGTGATTCGGGCAGGCTGTGGGATGCTCCCAGCTTCTTAAAATCACCCCGAGGGGCTCGCCGAGCCGGGAGCGCTGCTGATGCTCCTCTCTGAGCTCCTCGCCGAGGTTTTGGGGCTCCCGTGACGCCACCACGGGGGTGACACGTTGGGGACATCGCCGCAGGACGTCCTTAGCCCGCAGGGCAGCGAGACGCGAGGCCAGGAGGGTTTTGTGCCCGTAGGATATAGGTAGGGGGTTGTGCTTCATTTTGGGGAAGGTTTGGGTTTTTTTTTCTCCTTCGGGATCGTCGCTTCAGCGCTCGGTGCCTGGCGTCGTGGTGTGCGCTTGAGTTGGGGGTTAATGACACCAGGGAGGTGCTGAGCAGAGGAGCCTTGAGATGTGGAAATGAGAGAAATATCCCTTATTGATAAAGGTGCTGGAAAATGTTAGATTTTATTTATTTATTTTCCATTTTCTCCCTTTTCTTTTTCTTTTCCTTTCCGCTCCTCGCGGTGACAAGCTCTCGGGTTGTGCCTTGTATTCCCCTACACCGAATTCCATTCAGAAAGCATTTTTTTGGGTGCTGAATTCCATCAAATGTGGAAAATCGAGCAGGTCGAGTGCTTTTATTTTTTATTTTTTATTTATTTCCTGGACAAAGGCACGTTGTGCCAACCAGAGAGAAACCCCACGCGATTCCTGTTTGCCTTTTAATCCAAATGTGCTTTGGGATGCAGCCGTCTGTTGGTTCTCGCCCCTAAATAGCGATGGAGGAAGCTGGAGCTTTATTTATTTCTTGACGAGCAGGAACGAGGGCGATGGAAACATCTATAGGGAAACGTTTGGCTGGACCCGCACGATTTCGGGAAACCTTAACCGTGAAGTGGTCGTCGATTAGGGCTCAAATCGAGTAGGGATGTAAGGAAAAAGGAAGCAAAGGTGGGAGATCCGATGCTTTTTTTAAAAAATATTTCTTTCTGATGTTGAATTTTAACAATTCCTGGGGTTGTCTGCACCTCGATGGCCGAGGACATGAAAACAACCCCCCCCTCCACAACTGTGTGCTGGGTATTTATCCCTGCTAGTCGTTAAAAAAACCTATAATAGTTGGCTGTGTATTTTTAAGACAAAATATACATTAAATCTGAATTTATTCTGGAAGTTACAAATACCTACTTGCCTACTTTTACATTTTAATCTATATTTTTTTAACGAAAGGCAACGTTAACCATTTTTCGGAGCAAAGGGGTGGGAGAAGCAAGACGTTTGCACGCCGTGAGGGTTTTTTTTTTTTTGGGGGGTCTGTTCGATAATAGGAGATATCTCACGGGGCGGGACGCCGAAATACCGCACCCCAAAATCCTGTGAGTGCCCTTGGGGTGGTTTTTAAAGTTTATCTTTGCAGCTAGGTTACCGAAATCCCCCCCTGATTTTGGCAACCCACCGCAGAGGTCACGGGGAAAGCAGGAGGAAGGTGCTGCTGCTGCTGCCGCTTCCAAATCGCTCCTCAGGCAGGTGAAAATGCTTCGCAGAAGCACTTCTCTTGAAGGCCTCCTGTATCTCAGCCGAAAGCCTAATTAAAACTCTAATTCAATTGTGTCTAAATTGAATTATCTGAGCTGTCTGGAGGAGCTCGGAAGCCTCCCTTTGGATGCCCGAGTGCTTGAACGCCCGCTGTCGGTACGGGAGGTGTGTGTTTAGCCCGGGTTAGTGCCTGATTTTGGGGTGTTGTGGGTGCGACACTCGTGGATCGGCCTCGACCGTGGTCTGAGGAAGGGCTGGGGCATTTTTGGGCTCACCCAGTCCCTTCTGCTGCTGAATTTGGCAGCGCTGGCACGGACACAGCCCAGCTTTGGGTCAACCTGGTAGAGGACTGAGACCTTTGTGCCTCCCTTGGTAAGAAACCTTCCCATTTCCACCCCTCAACTCTGCTGATTTCCAGCCGGTCGGGAGCAGGAGCTGATGAGGTTGTCCAAAGGGAAATAGGATTTTTATTTCTTCCTTTCCGAGCCCGCTCTTCCCTTCAGCCTGGGCTCCGGCTTTCATTTGTCTTCCAGTCATGCCTTTTGGGCTTGATTGTATCCGCAGAGGCCCTGATTTCCTTTTCCGCAGCACAAGTGCTCTGTGTACTTTCTGTTTCCTCTGTAATTCAGAAAAGCCTCTCCTTAAACTCTTCTTTTCTGGGCCGTGGATTGCAGCGAGGGACTGCCTCTGCTCGTGTCCTGCACGCTGCCTGGCGGCAGGAAACCCCTTGGGATGGCTGAGCCAGGGGATCACAAGGTGAGAGAAACACCACGGCGAGCCCACCTCCTCCTCCAGATGCTGGTGTGACAACGGGGCATGCGAAAGGGACCCCTCAAAAACCAACTTATTAACCAGCCTGCTCAGGATTGACCCCGGCGTTGAGTTCAGGAGCTAGAAAAGCACAAATAACTGGTGCAAAAACCAACATAATTTTGAAGCCACGGTGCTGGCCTTCGTTTACTCGAGGTGAGGTCGTGATTCCAAGAAAAATCTGGCTGGGAAGGAGAGGTTCTGGCCACCACGTGCCTTAGATGCATCAGTCTCATTTCTTAATTTACCATCACCTTATCAACAAGGCTGCGTTTTGCTGCTCGAAGGTCGTCATTCGTGTTCTGCCCCCAAAAGCCTTGGATCCAAAGAGATTTAAGGAGAAAAGTTCTATTTTACTGGTATTTTTCAAACTTACCCAGACAGTTTTCTGCTGATTTCAGCCAACGAATCTCTCCTGACGTTCCCAGGTTGCTGCATGCCGTCGTGGGGCCGTTCAATAAAACAGATGAAGATCTTTCCGTGAAAAATAAATAATCCACCTAACCATTTTTTGCCCTTAACTACTCGAATTAAAAACTGTTGGCTTAATCCATCCCTGTTTAAAAAGGGGAATAAATTTTCAGGAATTATTTCCATAGGACTCCGTTGCCTGTCAGCGAAACAGATGCAGTTCTCCAGAGGTGTCTGAATGGCTTTGCCTTCTTGGTAAAGAAGGCAAAGAGTCAAATCTGTGCTTCTGCTGAGGGAGTGCAGGTGATAACGCTTCTCCTTGTATTTTTTCTGGCATCCTGGGCAGCTCTGTAACATTTGGAGCCCTTTGCCAAACCAAGAGACCAAGGAAATTTGGTAGAAGAGAAGTCCTGAGCGCCTGGGGAGGAGCTGGAGGTGTTCTGGAGGTGGTGGTTAAAGGTTTTTGTGTAAAAATTGATAGGAAATGCTTGCTAGTCTTGTTGATTTTTAGAAGAACATATACAGGGCATATATTTTGTGTTACTGGGTGCTGATATATTGACGCTTTGCTTCATTGGGTGGGTGATCTTGATCTGGAACCGTTGTTTTAGCTCCTGTTGGTTGGAATCACTACCAAAAGAAAAAGCTGGGAGTTTTCAGGGATATTTTTGCGTCTCATGTCTGCTTTGCCGTGGGTTTCTGAAGCAAAAATCCCAGACCTCTACCTACAATCCCAATCAGGGATCCTATTTAGGAGGTACACAGAGTGTTTATCAGATCCCCTGGAAGTTGTGGGAGCTCTGAGCACGAAGCAGTTTTGAAAACCAAACCTCTCCTTTCTTTTTTTTTGTGTCTCGGGCTCCAAGCAGGAACACGAACGCCCAAATCTGAGTCATTTCCAGCTTTCTTGTGTGTCTTCTCTCCTTCCTGGTGGAGCTCCGGGGGGAAGCGATGATGGTGATGCTGATGATGTGATATTTCTCTTTCAAAGAGGCACGCAGGGAACGAGGCTCTGCTGGGGATGACGGAGATCCATCGGCTTCCTCGCAGCGTGACTGGGTCTTGAATCATTTTTTTAAGAAGCCCTGAGCGGTGTTTGGTACGGATGTGCTGAAATCCCTGAATTTCGAGGGACTTTGTGCTTTCTGGGAGGAAAACTGCAGCTCTGGTGGCGCTCCACAGCAACCCAGGTGGAAAATTATTGCTGTAGGATTGGGGAAAGCTCAAGGAACGTGCCCTGTTCCTCTGCTGGAGATGCTGATTTGCGTTTGGCTGTGCTCTTTCCTTTCTTTTTTTTGTCTTTTTGAGTGAAATGGTCACCTGGAAAGCTGGCAGGTGGGAAACAGAGCAGGCAGAGCAGAAAAATGGGGTTTATTGTGGCTTTCTTAGGATAACTTGCTCAATAGGAAGCTTAAGGTTGAAGGATGGTTGCAGCCTGAAAATTTCGGGCTTCCTTGTCTTAAAAAGGGGTAGAGATTTGGGAGGATTATCGAAGGCAAGCTCAGAGTGTTTCAGGAGAGAAAAAAGGAAGGATAGATGCCATCGTGCCTACTGGGCACATCTAATTCAGTGATAAAATGGATGAGGACTGCAGACTGCAGCAAAAGTTAAAACGGGCTACAGCATCTTGGGTTCTGCAGGGTTTTTTTTTCCTGGCTTCTAATTTTCCATTGAACTTAATCAAAACAGATCTGGCTCTTTTACGGCATCAGGCTGTGCTGATTGCCTGTCAGGAATTAAAGCACGGCCTCTGAGCTTTAATGTTTTTTGGGGTTAGGTACACAGCTCCCTAAATACGGTCGAAATATGGACGTTACCCTTTTTGTGTTGGAAATGGGTGATGAGGGCTGGTGAGGAATTCAGGGCAAAGTCTCCCTTTTCCTCTTTTCCTTTTGGTTCTTTGTATTTCAATGTTTCTGAGTCACAGAATCACGAAGGTTGGAAGAGACCTTTGGGCTCATCTGGTCCAACCATCACCCTACAAGACGCCCAACTCGCGTTCGTAAGGGATGAGAGGATTTCCATGCTTAGTCCCAACCAATTTCTGATAGCTTCTGGCTCTCCAACGATTAATTCAGCTCCAGTTCTCCGGACCATCCTGTTGAGTGCAAGATTTTGGACTTACCTGCACCCTCCATCTCTCTGTATGTATTTTATATACGAGACAACTCGGGTTTTTATTCATGGAGAAGGCAGACGGGGAAGCGATCCCTGACAAATGGCCACTGTTAAACGTCCCGAGACGTTTTAAGCTTGGCTTAACCCCTCTCCAGAGGTGCTGCTGCTGACTGGAAGAGGTCTCCAAGAACCTTTTGGGTTTGTCCTGCCCGTCAGGTGGCCGAGGAAGATCATCTCAATGCTGATCTTTCAACCAAGATGAACGTGATGCCGACACGGGCAGGAAGGCTCCGAGGGCTTGTCCCTGTTGAAAATATCCTGAATTAAGCTTGGGAGAATTCAGAGTGCAATTACTTGGGAATAAATGGTATTTATGAAAGGAGTTATTTATTCCATTTTACGGAATGAAACGTTTCCCATGTGAACGTTTATCCTCTGGTCGTTTATTCTGCAAATTATTTGCTTTAGCTTCCTGTGTAGGCACGTCGTAACTTAATAAGACCTTTCAAGGCTTTTGTGAGAACTGCAGCGTATTCCACGCGTTTCCCAGGCCCGGCGTTGTGCAGTAGAGGCACAAAATATAATTCCCAGTTAAAGGACATCCAGTGCGTTGGTTGGAGCCTGAGTTGGCCCTCGATTCGTCTTAGATTCACAACAGGGAATGTTCAAAGTCTTAAAATGCAGTGCTGTAAAGTGGAGAAATTCCACTCCCCTTTTCCCTTTTCCCTTTTCCCTTTTCCCTTTTCCCTTTTCCCTTTCCCTTTTCCTTCCTTTTCCCTTTTCCCTTTTCCCCTTTCCCTTTTCCCTTTTCCCTTTTCCCTTTTCCCTTTTCCCTTTTCCCTTTTCCCTTTTCCCTTTTCCATTTTCCCTTTTCCCTTTTCCCTTTTCCCTTTTCCCTTTTCCTTTTCCCTTTTCCCGGGGTTCCCTTTTCCCTTTTCCCTTTTCCCCCTTTTCCCTTTTCCCTTTTCCGTTTCCCTTTCGCCTTTCCCTTTTTCCTTTTCCTTTTCCCTTTCCCTTCCCTTTTCCCTTTTCCATGTCCCGCTGCTGAGCTTTGCTGTGTGGCTGAGTATTCATGCTCCTGTCTCATTTTGGTTTGAAGACAGTCAAGTCGTGAAGAACCCACCACTTCTCTTGGTGTATTTTCAGCAAGTTAAGTACTCTCTCTGATTAAAAAAATTAGGTCTAAATTGAATTAGTTTCCAACTTACTGCTCTCAAAAGCCTTTTTTGGGGCTAAATTAAAAGGTCCTTTGATACCCAGTAGCTTTTCCCTTTGGAGACAACGCCTTACTCCCTAACCAAGTGGCCTTTCAGCTTTTATTTTGGGCAAGATAAATGCGTGGGGCTCCCCGGGTCTCTCTGCGGTCCTTAAATGCTCGTTGCACCCTGCTCATTTTTCACGATCCCATTTAAATCGTGGGCTGCTTCTGCGACATTCCCATGAGGGGAGTCTTACCCGAGCAATCTGCGGAGGCAAGATTGCTTCTTTTATGCCTGAAATAATTTTCCAGATCGATAGTGGACCTCTGAACACCACCGGGCTCTTTATCAAGCCCCACAGACCCTTTCTGCAGCTAATTTTGGTGGCGATTTTCCACGGGTGGCTGCTTTCAGTGATCCCCTCTTCTAAGGGGTATTATCAACTTTGAGCTTTCTTCCACCTTCCAGAAAAGACTGAAGAAGAACCGTCAGGGCCTCAGAAATTGGAGGACTCTTTGAGGGCTCTCAGGTGACCCATCCTGAGTCCAAGACGCTTCTTGTCATTGAATCGTGGAGCTGGTAGAGCGCTCGCAAGACTTCCCGGTACGTTCCCCTCCTTGAGGCAAGCTAGCAGTCTCTCTAGAGCACCCCTAATGGGTATTTCTCTAATTTTTCCTTAAAATAAAAGTTTAGAAGGCGCTCCAGCCTCCTTAGGTGGATGGTAGTTGTCGCTTGGCTGCCGGTTTAGTGAAAAGCTTTCCCAAAGCTTTCCCACTTGGCAGTGTTTCTCTGGCAAATTATCCTCTTCGCTCCCGAGGACGTGAGAAATAACCCGGCTCCGCTGCCGCCCCTGGATGCGTGCTGCGTTCTCCCTCAGCTTTCTTCCATCTAGGCTGAACGGAGCCTGCTCTCAGGGATCGTGTCGCTCCTAAATCTCTCCATATTTCTGTTGTTTTCCTCTCTTTAATTCCGTCTGTACGTGGAATTTGTACTCTGCTGCCTTGTCAGCATTATACAAAATAAAGCGATGCTATTTTCCACCTATCACTACTAAAACAACTTGAAATGCCTCCTCCCTTTTTTGCAAATCCATTGTATCGTTGACTTTTATATCAATTTGTGATCCGATATGCCCTCTTAAGTTATTTTCTGGTTGTTTTTCTCCACCTGCACCTTGTGCCCAGCTCCTGCACTGTTTTTTATCGACTTGGATCTGGCCGTTTCGCTTTGGCACAGCTTGATCTCGATGTACCCATTTCATCACGTCCCGTAGCTGCTTCTATACAGATGACTTCATAATTCCTCTTGTATCTTTCCATTGATTGCAGGGAGGGTTAAATCTCTAATTTGCTTTCGAAGCTTTTCAGAACTCGGCTACGTCGCTGTTTCCTTTTTTTGATCCCAAAAGCACTTGGAGGGTTGGTGAGCGACCGTAAGTGGATCATCTATATGCAAATTCCTTAATTTCTCCTCCGCGAAGTTATATTTGTGACAAATCAACGTCTCCGAAGTGACGCCTCTTTTCATTCTGTTGATATTTCATTAGGGTGATAACCCAAAAGTACAAACGTCAGACGAGTTGAAAATCAATTATTTAAATCAGGACATTCTGAAACCCTGATTGAATTACTGGGCGCAGCCCTGCTGAAACGCAAGCCCTGCTCTTCTCCTCGGCTCTCGAGGCTTCCAGCTCAGCGATCACCGCAGCTTTATGGGCTGTAACGAGGTCCCAACCGGTTCCTTCGCGTTTGGATTCAGTCGTGCTCCATGAAATGTCACCGATCATTTCTGGAAACGAGTCGTGTGTAATTAAGTGCTGCACGAGGCTTCGTACCCCTCCTGTCTCCTCCGTAACCCCACATCTCTGTTACCCCTTGCTTCTGTGCCTGAGGAGTCCCATCCCACAGCCTCCTCCTGGGCTCCCAACACGCTAAATTTCTGCTGAGATCCTCCAGAAATTCATTTCAATTTGTGGTCATCACAGATTTCAATTTCAATCTCAATTAAAGAGGAGGTAAGCCTTGTTTTTTTTCCTCTTTTGGCGGTACACTGCAGCCCCCACTTCTTTTTTTTGCATCCGAACTCCCGATTTTCAAGTCTGGTCACACATCCATCTCACCAGATTTCATTTTTTTTCTATCTGCGAGGCAGAAATTTATTCGTTCTTCGTTCCCTCTTGTTACTCAGAGCCCTTGCATCCATATATAGCAACAGAAAATTCGTTTTCTTTACAGACCCTCTGACTTTGAGCCTCGTTTATCCTTCCGTGTCCTTCTCTCGCGTTCGGTTCCTTCCTTTCCTGGATGCATCAGCAGTTTCCTCCGGGAAGGTGTCTTTCTAGTCGGAGAGATGCTGGCTCTGCACTTCATGATCCCCGTGTTCCCTGCGGTATGCTTCAGTCTCTCACACCCCAACATCCCCATTGCTTCTTCATTTCTTTTGCCTTTTTTTCTTTGCCTTCTCTTGCAGCCAGCAGTGGATGCTTCAGCAGCCTCAAGTTGCAATTCCTCAGCCTCCCCGCTCAGCAAAAGCCGTGGTGGTGCACGAGAACGAGATGCCATTGCCGAGCAGATTCCCACCCGCTCGGGAGGCAGCTTCTCCCAGCTCCTGCTAGGTTTCTCTTGGCACGCTTCAGCTGGAGCATGGGGGAAAAAAAAAAAAAAAGTCTGGCACGGCACTGTCGAAAGACTGCCAAACCTTGACTTAAGACTTTCCTTTTCGGTTCTTTTCCAGGATCCTTGAAATAGATAAATATATATATTTTTTTCTCATCTGCTCGGTTCCAGCTTATGCAGAGCTGCTGGCCCCGGCCTGAACGCTTCCTTCTTTCGACCAGAGCGATTAGCCAATATTTGGGATCGTCTGTCGAGGGAGGAAATCGATGACAGGCAGGTATTTCTTGGAGGCAATCTTGCTGATTCACAGAGGCCGTTTGCAGAGGCTGGCTTCTCCGAGCCCGGCCTGAATCGAGCAGCAGGAGAAGATTTTGCTCTCGGTATTCCAAGGTCGTTTTATTTTTTTTTCTTCTTGCCAGCACTAAACACACTATAAGCACACATGTACACGCACGCTGCTTCTGTGCCTGACACCACGGGTGTTTCTCTGGCTGTCCTTGCTTTCCTCGTGCTTTCCTGATGCTCTTTGTTGGTGTTCCTGCCCGTGGCAGCACGCCTGACAGCCTGCGTGTTCTCTCCTCCCTCCGTGCCTTGCCTAATTTCCTCCTCTACCAAAACAAAGCCTGACGCTCTGGTGTTCAGCCCCTAGGAAGCTTTTTTTGTCCAGGCTGGTTTCTGTCCGGTCTCTTTAGCTTTAACTTTTTCATCCAAAATTGTTTTCAGTGGAGATTTGCTGGGCAAAACGGGTTTTGAGGAGCCTGGGGCTTTGCTTTCCCATTTGGGTTATGGCAGGAAGGGGTGACGGTGTCTGCCCTGCCCAAATGGGACAGCAAGGGATAAAGGAAACGTTGGAGGTGCCCTGATACCCACAGCGACGACTTCCCTCCTCCTCCAGGAATCAAAAGAAAGGAAATCTTGGTTGTGGTCACCTGCTTGGGTTCCTCCAGGGAGTTTTTTACGAAGTTTTTCTCTTAATTTTTGCACAGATTTTTAAATAGTGCCAGATGTGCTCCGCTTGCGTGGAGATGGCTCTTGCAGAAGATGCCTTGTGTCAGCGCTGCAGAGTCTGTCCTGGTGCCTTGCTCGTTCTGGTTTCCAATTCAGGCTGCCGCCGCCTTTGATCTGCGAAACTCTCGATTTGAATCTTATCTGCTCGGGAGACCTCTTTCCCCGGGATTGTGCTGGCAGTCAAGATTAGCCGGGGCTTACTGGGTTGGCAATCTTGGTTTTAAATCTGCGAGGGCTTCAGCAGAGTTTTCTCCTGGGGCTGGGGGGGGGCATTGATTCTGGAATATGTTTTTCTCGGTGTTATCAGGACTCGCTGGCTATCAAGATAAGCTGTGGGGCTTACAGATCGCTGCGTTTCCTTCCTCCAGTGGCGACTGAGAGGAGCGGCGTCTCTCTCTCTAGCGGTTTTAGGTTTTTATCTGACCTTCCTGTGATTTCACCTTCTTATTCTGCTTCTTATTCTGCTTCTGCCTGCCCTCCTGAGAGGCTGGCACGAGACCAGGAGCACGGGCCCTGCAGAGGGAGGAGAGAACAGCGGGGTCAGCCTGACTTCTTGTTTAGGAGCAGGAGATCTTTGTCTTCAGCATTCAGGGCTTGCTGTAATCAGAAGAAGAGGCCGGAAAATCTGGAGGACCAACACGGCAACACGCCTTCTCTGCGAATTTCGTAACTGCATGGACAGAAGCTACTCATTTTCTTACTTATTTTCTTACTAGCAGCCTTCCAACTTGTCCAACAATGAATTCTACCTGAAGAATAAACCATAAATTTGATGACCACAAAGCCCTAACCCCGAGATAACTCAGTGCGGAGCGAGCTCAAAGACAAAAGGACCTTTTGCTGCCACCTGAATCTGCGTTGCAGCAGAGCGAGTATCACGATTGTCTTTCAGGGCTGCGCGTTCCTCAACACTGGCAACCAAATCCAGCAACCCTGGCGCTGTTGTTTGAAGGCAAGAAGTTTTGCGTGGGTGTCTGGCAGTAATTTTAGCTCCTTTCCTTGAAGCAGCTCATACCCTCGCTGAACTAAGGCTATTGCTTGCCTGCTGCTGCAAAATGCAGCGTGCTCCAAAGGCGCTTCTGATAGCCAAGTCTCAGGAGATGGTATTTTTATGAAGCAGCATTTAGGATACGGACTAAAAACACTCCAAGTGCTTCTGTGGCTTCCTTATTAGACCATCCAAGCCGGTTACAAACTGCAGTTAACATCGCAGTGCTTTAATGAGGTAGAGAAGTGGTGTTTACCCCGGCTCCCCACTTGTAAATCGTGCATCAGATGGGCTCAGAGCCTGGTTTCGTTGCAGGCTGAGGTCCTTGGTGCTGCAGAAGATGATGTTCTGCCCTCCCTGCTGCGGCTCACACCAAGGCACCGTGTGCCAAGCGGGTCTTTTAGGGAGATGCTGACGGCACCGACTGTACTGTTCCTTCTGCTCGGGGCTGCCTGGTTGTGTTTCCACCTGGTGCGAGCGTCTGGTTGGGAACACACGGCCGAGGAGAAGGGAAGGAAGGTGAGACCGTGCCTTCTGGTTACAGCAGGGACTTCAGTTTGGCTTCAAGAACTGAAGCAGCATCCTCGGGGTGCTTGGGCATGGTCTTGAGATGTGCTGGAGGTAAATAAAGGTAGGAGCCACCTCTCCACCCCGTTTCTGCCCACGCAGCTGCATCCCTTGCACCATTTGATGCTCGTCTGGCTGCATGGTGAAGGGACTCAGCACAGCGTGCTGGCAGGGCAACAGCCCACTAAATATTTTGCCAGCTCAAGAAGGTGGCCACCAGGAACTTGAGGATCTTGCTGTTTGGTAAAGAGGGAGTGGAAAAAAAATATGGAGGAGAAATTGTCTTAAAATGTGTTCTCAGAGTGAAACGTGGATGCTTTGCCGGAGATCAGTAGTCTCTGCAAATCTTTTTATATTGGAATAATTGAATGGGAGTATCCATTTTAAGATTATTGGGGAGTATCCAGAGTCTATTCCTGGTGCTT